CTGAGCTTTCGTCCGTCATATGACGGACATCATCAGAGCGAGGTAACATCGTCACAACAAAATTCAAACTAGCGAGTCAAGAAAACTCACCGGCAAATCTCTAAAAAGTGGTATATATACTCTACATCTGGCCTCTTTGATCAAGTATAAAGTGTTTGGTTAGTTAAAGCCATATGTCAACTTCGATGCATGTGAGTGTGTCTATCCCTGTATTTGTATCTGCCTGTTTGTGTTCGCTTATGCACGAAACCCGCAGTGATGGCTCAAAGTAATTATGACAGCAAAAAGGTACATCTGTTTTTGGCCATCAAGGTTTGATGACCCCTATCTCCTCCTTTCCTAATTTAAGTTATAATCATCACTCCGATTGCGCAAGGTCGGACACACCTCTGGTTTTGTTGATGAGCCTATGTTTGGTTTTTGTTCTCAATGCGAGAGAGAAAAAGTGTGCTAAGAGTACAGATAATTGATTATCATTAGAACCAAAACAAGACAATTATGAAACACGGGATTCCTCGAAACCCAACTTTTCTTACATATATTCATAATACCATGTCTATCACTTCCTATATCCTTGTCTCTTGTGTGCGAACCCAAAAATATTATTGTTCTACTTGTTTTGATTAAGCTTATTGTAGACTTCTCTTGGTTTCCGATTGTTCTTTCCTGGTCTCCTTTCGATATCTTTTCCTAAAATTAAAGTTGTTACCTTGATCCAATCGTCTTCTTTTTGCTTATCTTACTGTTGCCTGATATTCTCCAAGTTTGCTTTGGCAATATGCTAAGTTTTCGCCGATCTTGTCTCCTTCAAGTCTCCTGTTCATTAAATTTTTACATTCAGCATATCGAGGGCTTCTCTTATCTTGCGTTTTCTTGTATTTTCACCATATGCAGCCAGTCTTTCTGTCGATTTTGTGTCCCATCCGTACATGTATTCCACTATTTCGGATCTTTCCTTATCCTTGCTTCTACAAACTCTTTGATTCGTATGCTGATTTTTATTCCTGTTTCACCAATATACTTCTGCTCACAGTTGCCGCATTTGATGCGATAAACTGCCGAGCAATCCAATTTGCCAATCTTATTGTGCTGCGTCGGCAGGCTGGTGAAAAATGTTGTCTTCTTCTTTGTTATCACCTTGATATCCCATTTTCTCAGTAGGGGCCTGTATTACCACTTTGGGTTGTCCTCCCGATTTCTGATCTCATTTTCATAAAATCGGAGTTTAAATCTGCTCTTTCTATAAATTTTCTGGGTTACCCGTTACTAAGGCAATTCTGAGTCAGTTTGTCCAGCTCCTCGTCCTAAAACTTAACTTATTAAGCTGTTGATGCTTAAACTCTTCAGTATTCCTATCTTCAATTTGTAGTTATGATAAGACTGAAAATTTAGGATTATTCCCACATGAATTCTTTCTGAATACTTTCTTCATGAGTGTCCCATTGGAGCTCATGACCTGAATATCCGGAGAGTAGAGTCGTTCATTCTCCTCCACCTCCACCTCTTGAAACTATCTTAGAATTGATATTTGAGTAAACTATTAATTAGGATTATTGGCGAAAACGGGTAATCTGACTCAAAATAAAGATATTACCGAATCCATTTTTGGCGTTTAAGGAGACTATGTAAATGACTTACCCCTTTCATTATTTCCTATCTTATGCATCTTACATCTAGCAATATGAGTATTTTTTGCTTCTATTTACTTTTTTCTGAAAATCATTATTTATTTTGCATATTTTACCTCCATTCATCTAGCCATTCCACCTTGGCTTTTTATTTCCCTTTATTCTCATATTTGTTTCCTACCACCTAACTAGCTTCTACCTTGCCTTTGTTTTCTCATGTTTTACCTTTTGTCACTTTGTCCGCTAGGTCCGTGGCTATCTCGCCCAACTTGAGCAGACGCGTAGGGATCTTCGTGCACACCGTCTCACCAGGCCTGATGATATCAAACAGAGAATAACTGATTTGCGATCCAAAGTTGACCAGGCTACTGTAAACGTACAAGAGAGGGCCAGAAAAGAAGCTGCTGCCCAACAAGCAGCTCAGCAGGCTGCCATCGAAATGGAGCGACAAAAGAAAATGCGAGAGCGAGAACTGTCTGTTAAAACCGAAGAAGAGAAGCAGCAAAAGGCTTTGATGGAGATGGAGAAAAGAAGGTAGTGCTTTGTCTATATAAAAATTGACTATGTAGCTTTATTCGAATCTATAATCTTAACTAACCATATTTAGGGTCAGCGCATTGCTAGATCGGTACTTTATTATGTAATGATGGAGATCATATTCATTATCATATAAGGCTTGAAAAAGAAGTTATTCGTTGTATAGTAATCGTTTCCTCTTGTTTTCGCAGCTTTGTCATATTGGCAGAAAGATCTAAAGGAACACATTTTGCCCGGAGTCCATAGTATGCATGATAATCTCCAGAATCGGTCGTGGACTCTGTACATTCCCAGACGTTTCGCCGGCATCGTTACTGAGTCTCGCTATTCCCAGCACCAAACTACAACTTGTCGAAGAGAAAAATGAAGTCAATCCCTTGACGAACTTTCTGCCGAAACGGTTTTGCTGTCACTCCTCTTTCTGTCCTGACCCCTATATCCATTTCCTCTTGTCTCGCCCTCGTCCTATCACAACTTCTGACTTGTTTATATTATACAAGAGATGTGCCCTTTTGGCGAATTTACCGTGGCGCCATCACACCTGATGTTTGCCTTGCTCCCCTCCCTTTCGAGTTACTCATCCCACTCGAGCCTCCTCTCCGGATCTTATCTTTCTGGTTGATCGATTTCACTCGGTTCCGGCCCCTGTTTACTTTTACTCCAGGTGCTATTTCTCAAGCCTCCAGTAGCACTTACAAAGTCGCCTCAACTTCAGAGCGCCCAGGCTCTGATTCCCATGCTTGCGAATATTAGACATTACCTTCACTCATCCTCTCCTTGATTAGGCCCGTGTACCCTGAACAAACTGTGCACATCCATCTCTGGTCGCCTGCTGCATCCCAAGTGGTTTATTAGCCTATTGGTTCATAGTGCCCAATTTCTGTGACCCAATGCCTCTCCCTAGTCACGTGGAACATCGGGCCTCCAAAATTGTGGTCGTTTATTCGAACTGACTGCATTCACTGAGAACAGCTTCGCTTTATTTCAGAAGCCTCCTCACCCTCTTCTACCTTGGGATCCATTTTCCTCTGGTTTACGATAGATCCTTGATCCAGACGTCTCCTTTTTGCTTGTCTTATAGTATCCTTGTTTCATCCGAGTTTATTAGACAATAGGCAAAGTTATCACTAAATCTACATTCTTCCAATCTCCTGTTCATTGCATTTTTCCCCAAGGATGTCAGTTGCCTCGATAATTTTCCGTTTCTTTGTGTTTTTGTCGTATGAGGCCCTTCTTTCTGTTGCCTTCCAGTTGATCTCATGTCCAGTCTCTGCGATGTATTCCGTTATATCTGATCTTTCAGTATCCATTTTCCTGCAGAGCCTTTGATGTTCCTTGATTTGTATACTGATTTTTCTTCCTGTTTCGATAATATTTTTCTGTTTCCAGGCGCCGTATGCTATGCAGTAAACTCCCAAGCAATATTGCGTGGGTAGACTTGTGATGTGTGGTTTTTTCCTTCATGGTCACCTGAATATTCCATTTTATTAATAGTGCTCGCAAGAAGGGAGACATATACACTTTTGTGAGTCTTTCTACATCTTTTTCTTTCTCTCATAAACCCCGTCCTGCAATCGGCTCTTCACAGCCAGTATATTTATTTGAATTACTTCTCCCAGGTATCCGTTTCCGAGGGATGTCTGAATCAATCATCCCTAATCTACATCCCAGAATTCCACGTCAGTTAATAGTAGACC